AGGCCGAGTCAAGATGGTGACGCATGGCATGAGATAGGAAAGAGGAGAAATCCTGTTACACTCCCGAGAGATGGTGAGCATAGCGTGCATCACACCAAGAGGACTTGGGAAAGGCTTGAAACCTGACGAGGCCGCAGCACAGGATGGCAGTAGCCAGACTGTGTCACAGAGTCACAGTGGGGGAACAAGGAAGAGTGGCCTATCTCAGAAAGAGAGTGGATGGCAGTTAACTGTTGGTTAGTGAAGAGACTCGTGCACAGAAGGAGAAAAGGCTCAGGTTTCTTCGCTCTTTGACTTGAAAGTGATCAGATGATTGGTGATACTGCTCAGCTGGTCTGGAAGGTCATGGTACTGAAGTGATGGACTAGGGTTGTTGTCAGTGACCGATAGTGAAGGCCGGAGCAGGCCACTGCCGGAGAGTCCTTGCCTGGAGTGGATTGCCCATAAGCAGGGAAACCACTTCCTAATCTAGCTTGTAGGTGTCACCGTATCTTGCTCACGAGAGATCTGACACTGGCATTTACTGCTGGATAAGCCAGTGAACCTCTATCGCTGGGAAAATGAAGGCTGGAAATGCCTTCAACTGGGGGCACCTCTTAGAACTGGAGCCAGCTGGATGGGGCTCCCTGAAAAATTCTAGGGCACGCAGTTGGGGGACTAGTGAGTGCTTTCCAAAGCAAGCCAGTAAAACTTAGGGACTACATTTTTTAAAGTGCAAAGCACAAGGAGCAGGAATCCTTTGAAGCCACCACAGACTCATCTGGAACAGCTTGTTCTGTTTGAAAAGGTCACTTGGCGTGTAAGTCAGAGAAAAACGGACGCAGGGTTTGGAACTTCAGCAAAGCATTTGGCAGTATCTCATTTCCAACTAGATGTCACCAGTTATATGACTGTGTCACCAGTAAAAGGACACTGAATTCTAAGGCTATAGAAGATGACGAGTGTCTTCCCTAACAGGGAAGTGTAAAGACACATCTCTAGATCAGGGCTCTTCCTGGCTCTGTCTTCTTTTCCGTGATCTAGATGACAAAGGAGATGTGACTCAAGCAGATTTGCAGAGGGTGGGGAATTCCCTTTAGCATGACATTGGGATCTAAGAGGATCTTGTCTTCTGCCTTCTCCCCAGAGAGCGAAGACGAGCACTTGACATAGGCGGCTTGTTAGGTGAAGGGGGGGGGGGGGAGCTGGTTGCATGAATGAACTGCTGAGCCTGGACAAGCAAGTATTTGTTTTGAGTGCTTCCAGTTCCTCGCCACCACAATGCACAGTCAGGGGAGAGCCTGGAACGCTGTAGACTTGTCACTTGGCTTCACATTCAGTTTTTCAGCTTCCAGTGATTTTAATTTTTAAACCCCAGAAATATATGTTTCTATGTGGAGTTAAAAATTTATCCTTTGATGAAGTTGGAGCAAGGAGAACTATTGAAGTGGAGGTGGATTTGGATTTCACAGCTACCAGTCTGGGAGAAATAAACACAGTGGACAGTGTTGAGCTCAGGAGCCGCCTGGGCAGAAAGGACTGGCAGCCATTCTCCTAAAGCTTCTCTTCCTGGTGAACTGTCACCTGGCTCCTATCGCCGCCGCCGCCCCCCCCCCCACTCCTGAACTCTAGCCAAGGGCTTGTTTCTCTTCTTACTCTGGACAGGATTCTTACATCTGGACAAGATGGTCTTCGTTGTCCTAGTAGTGAGAGTTGGGCTTGCGGGAAGGGATAGCTGCGAGCAGATTCCTTTTCGCCTGAGGTGGTAATGGTGGTAGGTGTGGGCTGGGCCTCACACGAGCCCTCTGTCCAACAGAAGGAAACCGTGCCCGGCCCAGTGCCAACCCTTGTTGCAGGCACCATGTCAGTGAGTTTCGTTAAAGAAGGGAGAGCACAGAAGTGGAACGTCGTGTTTCTAGACTCAGGATGTGCAGGAGAGATCTTCTCAAATGCCTTTAGCTGTGGAAGTCAGCGCTCAGTATTTACCACGGTGGTCTACCAGAAATGTTCATGCCTTCTCGCCTTCCAGTTTAGAAGCCAAAAGCTGGCAGTGCCGTGTTAATCCTGCCTCTTCATCGTGCCCTGAAGCTGTATATTAAATCTTAGTCATCTTAAGGCCGGCTTGTGTAGGTTTTGTCGACTTGTTCTCAAAGGGAAGTGTTTGAACCTGTTTGTGAAACGCACCGCAATTTTCCTGCTTTCTTTGGATACCACAGCCCTTGTTGTCTACCTACAATATACAATAGACAGATATCTTGAAACTTAGATTGTTTCCTCAAAAGCTGATGGTAGCAGCGTTGACTATTTTCTTTCATTTGTGAAATAATACCTAGAATATTTGCAAAGCAACATTTGCAAGAATGAAGCGTATTTCTTTAGTCATCGTAAGTACTGAAATCACATTCTCCTGTCATCAGATGTAGTTTTGCGTTCAGACTTGAGGCGTGGTATCAGCGAAGGGGTGTGTGTGTGTGTGTGTGTGTGTCTGTCCTTCAGTGCTGGAGTGAATGTGTGTTTCTCTCAGACTGTAACTCATGTGAAGAGTGAGTTTTATTAAGGAAGGCAGCTTAACCATGATCTCTTCACAAATCTTTTCTTGTCTCATAATAATAGTCTTTTAAAAAGCTATATGGGGATGCTAATTCTTTGAACTCACTGCTTCTGTAGGCCACTTGTTAAGCACTCTCCTCTCCTCTCCCTCCATGCCATCCTTAGGTTGTTGGGGTTTGGTTGGTTTTTGTCTTGGTTTGCTTTTTATGCTTGGGGGCACAGAGCAAGACTGCATGTGGTCTGTGGGGACACTTCCTTCCAGTATCCAGTGATGACTGGCTACCCTTGTCTCTGTGCTCTTGTTCCCTCCCACCTGATTGTTAGAACACTCTGGACTCTCAGATTGTTCATTGTCCTAATTAACGATCAGGCCTCTGATTATCCAGACTGCTTTGCTTTGCTTTGCTTTAGAATCTGGGGGGCAGGCTGGAAGAGATATGTCTTTAGAAAGAGTAGACCTCCAGCCCCACATGGCCCCACTTGGAATCTGGAACCAGTCGAGTTTCTCCTAGAAGCCATTGGAAGGAAGTGCATCCTGTCTGGGGACTCATCACAGGTCGATGATCAGAGAGGAGATCCTGTCACCAGTGCAGAGGTGGCGCCGGCTGGGAGGGCTGGCAATCCTGGTGGAGTCCTCCAGGACAAGCTCTTTGGCATATGTTGAGAAAGTGCCACTCAGGAGGATCAGTGGCCCAGTGGCCGGCCAGACCTCACTGGTGCAGGCGCTGTTTCAAGGAGAGGCAGGATTCCCTCGGCAGGCTGGAACATAGCCGTAGGGATTTATGGGGTCGTTTCTGCCCAGTGTTTCTTGGAAGTTAGACCCAAGGGTATATTACTGAGAGCCCGTCTTCAGAGCTGCCCACTGAGATCCTGTCCTGCTTTCAGACTCAAACAGTCTGACTCCCAGCTTCGGTTGGCCCCATCACTAGCCATGGGCTCCAGGCAGAGTCTTTGACTTATTCCATGCCTCACTTTCCCTACTTGAACACGAAGAGCTCCTTGGAACTTGGATCAGCCAAATAAGTCACCAGTGAGTCAAGCCAGGTGAATGTGGTGGGAGGGGTCTTATTTTTTACTACAGTGGTGTAAAAATGTCTTCAAACCCATAGTAGGGAAATTGGGGTGGTCCAGGAAAGCAGCTGCTGTGAAGCAACTAGAATGTGAAATATGTCTACACCAACTTTGTGGATTGTTTGATTAGGTGGGCCGCTGACTTTTGTTGGTATCTTAGTGCAAAAATGAGTCAGCTTTGCTAAGAGTTGAGGATATTTACTTTTTCCTTCAAAGACGTAAAAGATATTGCCTACCTATAATTTAAATGGATTAATCCAATTTAAAAAAAAATACCAAGTTAGATTAAGAAATTATAAGGATTTGGGCTTTAAAATTAGAACAAAAGTTCTTTTACTAACACATCGTTCACATACAATAAAGTATTACATGTGGTGGATTTTTATATATTCATAGTTGTTCAACTATCACCACAATTAAATCTCAAATATTTTCATCACCCCAGCATAAGAGCCCTTAAGCTGTTAGTTCGTTTCACCACCTCCAACTCTAGACACCACAATTCTACTTTCTGTTCTTATAGATTTCCTTGTTATCAATATTTCATATATAAGGAATTATATAATATGTGATCTTATATGGCTAACTTACTTACCATAATATTTTCAACGTTCATGCATGCTATGCCATGTATCAATATTTTATCTATCCATGTACCTCATTTTGTTTATGCTTTCATACATAGAAGAACATCTGAGTTGTTTCCACTTTTTGGCTATTGTAAACATCCATGTACAAGGTTTTGTAGGTATATTTTTATAATTTCTTGAGTATCTGCCTAGGAATTGAATTGGTGGCTTATATGGTAACTCTAAGGCTTAATCTTTGAAGGAGCAGCAGACTCATTTTCCGTAGCATGAATATGTTTCAATCGCTGTGCGTTTGTATATTCTAGACATCTCATAAATTCGATCATACAGTATTTGTCCTTTGGCGTCATTTCACTCAGCATGTTTTCAAAGTCCATCGCTGTATAGCAGGACCACATTTTTTTTATCTATTCACCTGAGACCTTAAGGTCTACTTGATCCAACCACCATGGTTTTCAGATGAAGAAACTACGGCGCAGAACAGCAGAGCCTTTCCCTAGGCCTTCTGTATACCACTCAAAAGCAGAGTACAACCTAGGGTCCACATTTCCTGTCTTTGGCCCAGTGTTCATATAGTTCCCCCAGACTGTCCCTCACCCAACCCCTCAGTACTAGGTGGAGGTGGAGCAAAGTGGGGGGGGGGATCAGGAGGGAGAAGAAGGAATGCAGTTGACTCAACAGACCTGCCCTCAGAGCAAAGTCTGATTCATGGGGTCGGTGGTCTCATCCTTACATCTGAAAGACTGTACTTTTTGTCTCCCTAAGTCCTTTGTCTAGGTCATTTGGAAAGCTCCTTGCAGAGATCAAACAATGGAAGAGTGGAAAAATCAGCTTCCTAAGAACCAACCTCCACCCTACAACAGGGAGGGAAATAACCAGGATTCCCAGAAGCCCCAGGAATCGGTGAGCAATGGGCTGTGGAAAGCAGGGTGGGGAGGGTGAGAGAGAGTGAGTGAGTGAGAGTGTGTGTGTGTGTGTGTGTGTGTGTGTGTGTGTGTGTGTGTGTGTGTGTAATGCATCTAATCTTAAAGTTGAACATAAAGATGTGTTACTGAAATTCTCTGCGCAAACGTAACTGTGGGGCAATCTGACCTAGGAAAGACCTAGGAGATGAGCCACCTTAGCCCCTTCTAAGACTGAGAGTACAGCCTAACGCTCCAGCTGGGTTTCTGGTTCAGTGGTATTCATGCTACACTCCTTCACCAAGACATAGGAATGTCCAGAGGAAAGAAGATCTGACCTTTTCTTTTAATAGAAACCAGGAATGTCTGAATGAGAAGTACTAAGCATGTTGCATTAGTGTCTTCCTGTGACAGAGTGCAGAAAGTCATGATTAACAAGGACTTCCTATTTCATATTCTGGCCCCTTTGTCCTTTTTATAAACAAATTCCTACTTTCCTCCTCAAAACCAAGACATTGCCCAGCCCAGGTTCCAAAACTCAGGTAGAGTTAGGAATTCCTCTGTAGGGATTCCGATTCCCCTGTAGGAACTGATTTTAAGTTAGCAGGATGATGCTAAAAGGGGACCATGGTGCCACTGATTTGTTCACTGACAATGAAAGCCTGAACCTGGTCTGTGGCCTGAGGCTTTGAATATCAGGAGTTGCTGCAAACAATGCTCCTCAGAGCTTGGGGGGAGGGGGGAGGGGTGGAGAGGTGAGGTGTGAGAACCAGCCCCGCTTTCCGGGGGCGTGTGCACCTGGAAGCCTCTTTCTTGCCCCACTTCCCTCAGCCTAAGAGCTGCCTTCAGTTCAGGTAGACAGCAGCAGACAGAACAGCAGCTGCTTTCCCCATCCTTTTCCCTAAACAAACTAACAAACCACACCATGAGTTGAGGCACTGAAATAAAGGTCTGTAAAGCTCCAGAGAGGATTTAGATATATTCCCCCCCTTAATGTAGCTCTGGGATTCCCATGGAGTGCTGATTGTTCTGAGTCAAAAGTCAGGACAGACACTGAAGTTCTCGCCTTGCTTCTGCTCCTAACAGAAGGGGCTTTGCTTGTCCTTTGCCCTCTCTTTCTCTTCCCATTTCTACACACATCCTTATATGTTGCGATGGTAGTTTCCTAGGTTCCAGGCATTTTGCTAAACAATGAGGGAGGATCTTATCCCATAATCAACACAATAGCCCTGAACTGAAAAGACTAGTATTATCTCCAGGAAATGAAACCTCAGAGAAGTTAAGAAGTTTGAATAAAGCCACAGAGCTAGGAAGTAGCAGGACTCAGCCTGCTGTCACCACTGTACTCTGCTACCTCTTAGGTCTCAAACATGTTTTAAAACCATAAAGCACATAACAGTAGCAGAGGTAGCCCATAAACAGGTGAACAGGAGAAGTATCTTCACTCTGGTGGCTTCCTGGAACTTTCTGGCCCACCTTGCCCAGGAGCAGCAAGCAGGCTGATTTAAAACTCCAGAGCATCTTTGGTAACTTGATAAAGGACATTTACCAAAACCTCACAGGCATGCGGATCTACTTTGGTGGAAGTCTAGTCAGAGTCCTTCCTAGAGTTAAGGGTGGTGAAATCCTGTCTCACCTACTTTGGGTATGTTGCCAGGAGAGGGCAGTCTTTGGAAAAAGCCATCATGCTAGGAAAGGTGGAAGGTCGGAGGAAGAGATGGATTGACACAATAAGAATGGGTTTGAGAATGTTGGAGATTGTGAGTATTGTGTAGGATAATGTCGCCCTAAATCGGATGACTCAGTGACACATGGTATCAACAGCAGTGTTAGACTAATGGTCAGAAACTGCATGCTCTCCCTGTAAGATCAGGAATGAGAGAACGCTTTCCTCTCTTACAATTACTAGTCAACATTATACTGGAATTCATAGCTGACGCAATAAGGCAAGTAAGAGAAGTAAGATGCACATAGCAAAAGAGCGAAATAAAACTGATCCCACATTACCTTATTATCTTTGTAGAAAATCGTACAGAATCAACAAGAAAACTTCTATGACTAATAAGTTATTATAACAAGGTTGCTAGATAAGAGGTTAATATAATATAAAACTTTCAGGGAAGTAGCCAGCCACTCACTACAGAACTGGAGTTCTTTATACAGCAATCTGGAAAACCTAGAGTGCGAGCTTAGAACTAGAGTGGGTGTGTGAGTAGGGAGGTTATGCATACGCCCAGCTGCATAGGCTGAAATCAGGGCAGGTTTGGTATGTTCAAGACTCTCCTCCAGCCCCACCACTCAAAGGCATCGATTCTTCTCCTGTCATCCTTGTTCATTGTGCAGCTCTCTGATGCATAGCAAGTAATTGCAAAGACCATGGCCTGGATCAGGTGCACCTTTGCTGTTAGTACTCTTCTGTTTTTAAAACTTTTTTTTTAAAGCGCATATAACAAAGCCTTCCCCATGCCTACGCGTTTTACTCATAGAATTCAGTGACATGAAGTATGCACTGTCCACCACTGTGCACGTGTTCACATGCTTCTAATGAGTGGAGGCAGGACGGCGGTCGAAACCGTGTTTCCCTGGAGCTCAGGTCGCCACACCGGAGCCTTGTCCCCACCCGGCCACACTAGCGAGAGCTGGGCCTCCGGTGCAGCTCTCAGCATTCTGGGTCAAGGACCTGCAGCGCATATGCGCCTTTCTATTTTGGGGATCCTCCCCACGGAGTATGCAGCTGTTCCACTCCTTTTCCTCTCTCCTCCTCCTTGTCTTGCGGGGGAGGCCCTTTCCATTAGAGACCAGAGCAGGACAGGGAGCCAGACAGGGCCTTGTTTTCAGGTGGTCCTCTTCCTCAAGGACTAAGGCCAGCTCAGCTTGGAGTCAGTGGTAGATTTTGATTCATTTGAGGCAGAGGGTCCTGGCAGGGGAGCTCCGCTTTGCAGCTGGCTTACATTAGCATCTGGAAGCTTGGCGTCCCCTATGCCTGAACTTCTAAGAGACCTTGTGGGCCTTGTCTGCACTCTGTATTCCAAAGTCATAGATAGAGTCTGGAGCTCGGGCTGTCACGGTGGGAGAGTTCAGGGGAGCGGAGCCGCAGATACCTTGCCCCCCTTCTAGAGTATGTGCACGTTGAGGTGGGGACAAGCCCGGGGGGTGTGGCCTGCGGCTCCCCAAGCTCTGGACTGGTCTGCACAGGCTGAGGCCATTTGCTTTCCCTGAACATTCCCAGCCAGAGAGACTCATGATATTTAGGTCAGAAGCTGCCTGCTGAGGTGCCGAGTTCCAGACTGCTGGCATAATGAACATTTGTTTCCGTGGCAGATTTGATTTCTGTAGTTGATCTAGAAGAAGCTGTCTTTCCCCTTTGCCTCTCCTCCTCCCCACCTCGCATTTCTCCGCATCTCCGTGCTGCCCGCATCTCCCTGCTGCCCGTCTCCAGATCCAGCCCCCAAAGTACCAAAGGCTCAAAGGCAGTTCCAAGGTGCAGGCCCCACGGCAGCGTGCCTCTCCGCAGCTGAGGTTTCACTCGCCTCTCCCTCCAGTGCTCTCGATTCTCCACTCCTTTTGCTCCATTGGCTGTCATCCAGCTCAGGTTCACACTTGCTCACCCCAGAAACCGTGGGGACCCACTCTTAGTGCCCCTCCAGCCGAAGCTTGGAACCTAGATCACAGTGAAGATCCAGTGAGCGGGGGCTACCCAGTAATAGAACTCCTCCATTGGGCCCCCAAGTCTGTAGTCTTTGGGGAAGCAGATGCCGTATCTTGTACCTGCGGGTTCAAACCATCAGCCTTTTGGTTAACCGCAAAGCAACAAAGTTTTCTTGGGACCCAGCCATTAATTCTTTCTGCCTAAAATGCTTGTCTGGTCCTTTCCAGAAAATAGTTTTCCAGCTCTGGATCTAAATCATTGGGCATTTGGTCCATTGTTCCCCAAATCCCAGTTCCTACTTGAGGGAGGAGCCCCAGGGGTGCAATGGGTAGTTAAGTGCTCAACTGCAGACCGGAAGCTTGGCAGTGAGAACCTGCCAGCTACTTCTCCAGGGAAAAGACCTGGACGGCTACTTTTGTCACAGTGACAGCCCTGGACTCCCTCCGGGCCAGCTCCTTCTGCTGAGTCACGTGGGATTGCTATGAGTCAGAATCGACTTGAGGGCATCCAGTCCCAGAGCCCCCAGAATCCTTGTCTCTGCCGTCCTCCCTCTTCTGCCTGCATTGTCCGTTTCTCCCCGGCTTCGGGGCCCTGGGAACAGGCTCTTTGCTCTGCTCATCACTCCTTTGTGGGCCAGCAGTGGCCCTCGGCAAACTCCTGGCTCCATCCTGGCGCCTCTGTGCCAGGCACCCTGATGCCTAGTCTCTCTGCAGTGAGCAGAGCACGTGTCTTCTAGAGTAGATTCAAGGAGTGGAGGTTGGACTGGCTGTCCCAGTGACATGGCCATAAAAGCTCAACATTTTCTGGCCTCTTTTCCTCCATAAAGTCAGGCCTATTGGGTTTAGAACCATGAACTAGGCCCAAACGAAATACCTCCAGGAAGCCAGCCCCCAAATGCCAACACCCAGCACCTGCTTCCTGGATATATGGCTTCGGTAGCTAAGTGCACAGTAGTTAAGTGCCAGCCATTTTCCCCTAAGCTACATGCCAGCAAAGGAGCTTCGAAAGCCCTTGCCCTCTGCTGCAGTGAAATCTGACACCCCCAAGGAGTCATTGGTAGCATTTTCATGAACATCTCCCAATATTCCAAGTTCAAAGAAAAGATAGTTAGGAAGGACCGCAGTGGTACTGAGTCTTCTTCGTGCCGCATGGCCAGGGGAGGGTCTTACCAGAGCCGTGTAGCATGAAGGGAACATCCTGTTAGCAGCACGCCCTGGAATCCAGGCCGAGTACTCCCTCCAGCAATACCAGCACTCATCCTCCACCACCGCTTCCTCCGTACCCCACTCTACCACCGTCACCCCCATTACCTCCCTCCGCCACCTCCACCCTCTGCCACCACAACCATATTCTCTACCTATACCACCTTCAGCAGCACAACCTTGAACCACCCACTACCACCACCGTCACGGCACCCCACCGCTGCCACCGCTGCCGTCACAAGCACACATGCATTGCCATACAAGCAGCATCTTTCCGGTTCAGAGACCCCTGCCCTGCTGCGCTGGCACTGTCACCACACAGTGTGCATTTCATTGTCGTCATTTCCCACGCGTAACATGTTGTTGCTGTGGGTCATGGGGTGTTGAGCTAAGTTTGGGTGCAAGATCTTCCCCTTCGTGAAAGGATTTGCTGAAGATTTCCTTTCAAATGGCAAATTCTTGCTGCGTTTAATTGTTTAGGTTTACAAAAGTTAGCTTCTCACACAGCTGTTCAGGACTCCAGCCAATGACCAACAGCAGATCTGCCTTGGATGACAGGTGCTGCTGAGTAAACCATGGTGAAGGCTGTTTCGGGACCACCAGGAATGTGTCTGCAGTTTTCAGAATAGAAAGAGAAATGTTTCCTTGGTGTATACACCCCCACCAGGCACTACGATAACTACACATGTCTGAGCTCTCGCAGTCCATTGAAAACATGTGAAGTAAGAAGACTGAGGCTCAGAGAGGGAAAATGGCCGGCCCAAAGGGACCAGCAGTGGAGACAAAGTAGACTGATGATAAAGTTTGTCATTTACTCTGATCTGTAATTTGAAGTCTGGAAGTCTCTGTGTGATCAGATTACCTCTTCCAAGCGAGGTGGATAATGACAGATGGAGAAAGGATTGAGGTTGTTCAGGACCTCGGAGATTGCTGTATGTAGGCGATGACCCCACGGCATGGCTTGCATCGGTTGGACTTGGTTTAGGCCACTGAGAGCAGCCACCCAGTCTGTGAGATGCACTCTGGTTCCTCAGATGCCCTCGACACTCCTAGTTAGTTTCCTGAATTGAGACATTTGCTGTGGCTCCTGGCATTCCCTTCCACATTGGGTTCTCACGGACCAGGGGGCTCTGGTGGCGTAGTCGGTAGGGGACTGTGCTGCTAACAATACGGTGGCACCTCTCAGGCAGGTGGCATCCTCCAGTGGCTCCCAGGGAGAAAACCCGCTGGCGTGTCAGGTAGTGGATGGCGAGGAGGGCCACCAGAGCCCCCCCCCCCTCTGAGGCTCAGCAGCCTGATGGCGGACCGATGACCAGGTGAAGGTTTGGATTCTGCCAGGGAGCTGCAGCGACTTCCCTGGTCACTGCTGGCAGGGGGATCCACCTCCCAACCCTGTCATCGTCCTTTGCCTGACAAATCCTGTCAGTGAGCCCACTCTGCAGGTCGGCACATTGGGACCCAGACATTCCCAGTGCCAACACCTCACATGAAACCTCCCTTCTTATGGTGTTGACTTTGTTTCCAGGATTAATGCTTCTAAATAGTGAGCATCTCTGCAGAGTTGAGGACAGAGAGAGAATACGTACGTGTGTGTGTGTGTGTGTGTGTGTGTGTGTGTGTGAGAGAGAGAGAGAGATGTGTTAACTGGAATCATGCTATGATTGTGATTCTGTAACTTGGGTTTCTTCCTAAATAAAACAGCTGCCCAGAAAAGCACTCTCAGACCTACTGCATCCCTTTAAAGGCTCCATCATATTCTACTTTATCACAGTAATCTGATACCTCCCACCACGACAGGCAGGCAGTTTACAAATTAAATGTCTACATGGTGCATTTTACTTGTTAAAATGAGGGTAGGCACGTCCTATCCTAGCAACTTTTAGTTTTCTCTTAAATGCCTGCCTTTGTCAATGCAAAGTCCACTTAGTGATTTCTGTGGGGTTTCATCTAACTCCTTTAATTGGGCAAACAATATCCTTTGGATGACTTTTTGTCACGTCTCGTATACGGGCAGCATAATGCCTTACTTGAAATGTAACAAGACAGTTTCAGTGGAACACAACAACAGAGAAACAAGCATTATTGTACCAAAAACAGACCCCATTTTCTACTTTTGACAACCATTAGTCTTTAAACTGCCAGGTCTGTTTTACCTCGCAGGTTTCCTGTTAGCTTTCACGTGCCAGGCCTTTGTGAAAACACCACACTCTCTTCTCTTTCAGCCACAAGGCTCTGAAAAGAGACAGTCAGGAGACAATGTCCAGCAGTTTCCAGGCGTGGCTGAAGGGGGCTACCCTAACAGAATCAAGAGGCCCTGCCTTCAAGACCTCACCCTCTCTGTGGGCTTGGTTGCCCATCCCAGCACATCCAGTGCCAACATGGAGGCACCTCCAATGATGATCAACCCAGGTGCACCGGCTGCGGCTGCGGCTGGCCATGCATTCCTCTTCGAAAGCAATCCCATGACCAGCGTCCCAATGGAATCACCATTTGTGGTGCCTCAGGCAGCAGCAGTGGATCTCAGAAATCCTACTGTCTCTTACTACGACAGAGCCAACAGTATGCCAAGCACAGTGCCAGTTGTAGATGAGGAAATTCATGATCTTCTGGAGGAGCTAACAAAAATCCACAGGTCCTCTAACAGTGAGCATAATCTTGAGAAGATCCTGAGGAACAAGCCAGAAGACCCGCCGGCCCTCAATCAGCTTCCGGAGGACCTGAGCCTATCGGCCAGGCCTTCAGCACACGTGCCGCACGGGGCAAACCCGAGTTCCAGCCAAGCGCCTGGCGTGTCACTCCCCGTGCCGCTCTCCTCCTCGGGGGTCAGCTACAACATGGCTTCCACCAGTAACCAGATGGCCTCGTCCGGCTCGTCAACAGCACAGGCCAGAAACCAAAGCCAAATGATGCTCGCTGCCGCTGTGCCACCACCCCAGGTGAACCAGTGGCACCATGCCAACCAGCTGAAGGCCCTGGCAGCCAACAAGCGGGGCTCTACTACAAAGCAGCAAGGGCCTCCTCCAGCTTGGTCTGGGCTCCCTGCACCAGGAGTCTCTCCTCCTTTCCATCCAGTGCCATCTCCATACCCACTGCCAATGTTCAACACGCAGAGCCTGTCCGGCATGTCGTCCAGCAACCTGCCAGCCACCAGCCTCCAGGGTACTCCCAATGCTGTCCTCCCAGGCATGGTCACCAGCAACAGCACTGCCCTGGTGCCCTATGTTTCTGAGAGGCTCCCCAGCCCGGCTCTCAACCAGCAGTCTCCATTCAGTCCTCAGAGCTCCATTCTTGCCAACCTGGTGTCCTCAAACATCAGAAATCCCCCAAGGCACCGGATGGCCAACATGCCCACCAGCAACCCCAGGCACTCCTACCCGTATCGCCCGCCGAGGCCCAGCTCAGGCTTGCCACAGCAGTCCTTCGCTCCACAGGGCTCAATGCTCCGAAGCCTCCCCCCCACAGGAGTCCCCCTCGGCCCGCAGCAGCCCCTACAACAGCAGCAGCAGTCACATGTGGTCTTTAATAAGCCCCCAGCCAACAATTCGTCCAGAAGCCTGAGGCTAGTCATGCAGCAGGGGATGGCAAGCTCCAGCTCAGGGATGCCAGACCCGTTTACTTTTGGCAACACCAGGCCTTTGTCCCATTTTGCTTCTGGGCCACGGCCCCAGAGGATGCCCTCTGTGCCGACCACCCCCAGGCCGCCTTCCCTGCTCCAGTACCTGCAGCAGCCGATGCTGACACAGGCTTCTTCAGCCTCTGCCTCCAGCACCACCACTGCCACCTTGCAGTCTGACCACTCTACGGTCTTCATGCAGCAGATGATGCAGCAAACCCAGGGCCCTGCGCCACCCCTGTCCACAGACCCCAGACAGGTAAGACCAGCTCTGAGCAGGTGGTGTGCTGGTGGTTTGGAACGAAGGACCATGTGTTTGGCCACTGCTCGCTGGCTTTGAAGGGCAAGCCAGACTAGTCGTCTCAAAGACTGGGCTTGACTCTGCAAAAGTCGAGCACAGTGTCCATGAGGCCAAGGTTATGTTTCCCATGTCTGTTGAGGTCTCATCTCCCAAGTCAGACTGCACACACCCCCCTCCCTTGCCCTGGGCCATGTAACACGTTCATGAGCTTCTCAGGACAGAAGAAATCTGCAATGAAGCCTTTTAATCTTGGCATACAACCTTCTGGAAATGCCATATCAAACTTTTATGCGCCCCTCAATATACAGGTCCTGAAATGAAAAAGGTAGGCTTTTGTGTTGACTTCTATGATATCATTTTTACAAATGAGGAAACCGGGGCTCAGGGAGTGGAAAGTCTTCGCCCAGAGTCACACGGGGAGAGAGGCTGCAGAGCCCGAGCTCTCCTTGGAATGGCTTTCCACTCATCCCTCTTTCTCTCACTTCTAAAATCTTTCAGTCACCAAATCCACCTGACTCTAACTGGGGCTTCAGTCCTACTTCTTTCTTCTCCATGCTCTGATTCCCCCCTGTGATTGTTCTCTTGGCTGTGTAACAAACTGTCCCCTGAAAGTCACTTTCTACCACCTTGTACTTTCTGTTGGTTAGAGCCTCAATCTTGTCTCCCACAGTGCCAGTCAACTCAGAGCTCAGCCTTGAAGAAGCTGTTCCCTAGCTGACTCAGGAAGGCATTGTTGGATTAAGACAGCACTTCTCAAGAGCTGTGGCCTGAGGCCAACCTCCATTCCTTGCCACATGTCCTCCTCTGTAGAGCATCTCAACACAAGGCCACCAGCTGTATCAGAGGGAGCACGAGGGACTGAGTGCCAGCGACACAGAAGCGGCAGCCCATCCCTCTCGCTCCATTCTCTTCAGTAGTGCAGGTCACGACGTCTGGCCCACGTGGAGCACACGAGCGTGTGACTTCCAGCAGGCTTAATTAATACCCCCTTGCCCCATTTGTACTCTGTCGATTGTTTGGTCTGAATGTTTCCAGTCAGCTCTTAACTGATTCGCCCCCAGTTGGCCATTCATTACTCTCTTCGTGTGTCAAGCTGCCTCTCTCGGTCTGCACAGTCTCACAGCTGGACTTCCCTTCCCACTTTTTCTTTCCTGACCTACTCTTCCAACTTCTTAAGACTCAGGCATGTCTCTGGCAGGAACGTAGGGCCTAATGGTCCTCAGTTCTTCCACTCCCCAGCCCCTTGGGCCTCCTCTTCTGTACAGCGATCAGTGAGAGGATGCTTGCCCCTCAAAGGCCCGAGAGCATAACCTAGCTCAAGGGTGGGCCCAAAAGGATGGCCTTCTTCCCTAAGGACAACATGGAAACTGAGGACTGGTAGCCCCATGAGACACAGGCAGTATCTTCTTACCACAGGCCCATTGACCCTAACCAAGCAGAGCGCATCACACTTGAGTGGATGCATCCACACACCAGCTCCTGCGGGGTGGCCAGGGGTGTGGCGTGGCGTGGAGGTGGGCAGGGCAGGGCAGCTGGGGTGCGGGGCCTTGGCCGCAGTTCAGGAGCCCTGTGGTTTGATTTTGTTATAGGCCTATTGGCATCTGTTTGCATGGACTTCAGCCAGCTTTGTGGAGCGCCAGCACCAAGAGTGGGATCCTTTCACTAGCAGGCAAGCTGCTCAGCCTGGAGACGCGGCAACATCTATCATTGTGAGCCTTTTTGTTTTGTTTTGTCTTCAATGGGGTCCCTCTTTAGCCCGAGTATATTGCCCCAGAGCCAGGTCATCCGGCTTAGAGGATGAAGTCTTAATGATTGAGGTTGTGCAAAGCACACTCAAGTGTTGACATGTGGGGCTGGAGAAAGTGTGCTGGGGGGGATGGAAGCACTGGCAGTAGCTTGACGGGGGGACCCCCCCCACCCCAGGTGGGATGTAGAGGCAGGCTTCCGGGGTTGACTAGTGCTTCTTTACTTGCCTTGTCTCGTGTCAATCCTCAGGTGTAGGGCTGGTTCTCATTCCCTGAGGCACAGGCGAGTGACCCAAGTTGCCCATTGTCACACAGCCACCTGACTGCAGAGCTCACACGCACAGCTCTGCATATCTGACACTATAATCGTGAATTTGTGTTCCAACCTGAACTTCCGTGAGAGGGTTTTCACTGGAAAATGGGGGTGACAGAAGTGTGGTGAGGATCAGATGGATTTAAAACATCTAAAGGACTTTGAGCAGATCCTGGTTGACGTTCCTTGCCAGGCACGATTTGCTCTCGCTAGGATTCTGTGGCCTGGCCTTGAGTGGCCAGATCTGTTTGGGGCTGGGAGTGGGTACAAAGGACCTCGCTCTGGAACCTAGCTGCTGTCCAGGAGAGAAGGGCAGGCCTCGTGGCCACCATGTGGGCCCTCCCTGCTCGAGGCCTCGCTGCTTCTCTCACTGCATTCATCTGTAGATGCCATTCATTTGGCCAAAACGTACTGAGCAGAGCTCCAAACTGGGACATCAGCAGCCCACTCTGCCTTCTTGGGGCAGATCCCATCAATTGAAAGCCGAAGAATTCCACTCTGGTCATTCATCCAGGGAAGTGAAAGGAGGGGAAAGGAGCAGGATTATGTCCAGAGCAGCACTGTGTGCAAGGTGCAAGGAGGGACAGCAGCCCCAGTGGTGGGGGTACTTGTGGGGTGAGCCACCCAGGCTCTCCCGATGGCCTGGCTGAACCACAGATAACACCAGGCGCCTAGGACACAAGCATGATGCAGAGGGTGTGGACTGTGCTGGGTGACCTGTCAGAGGGTGGGACACCAAAGTGATGGGCTAGAACATTTTTCTATGCTATTTCAGCAGAAAATTATAACTTTTACAAAAATAACCCTATTGTTAGCTAACTCTACTTTTCATAAGCCTAAAACTGTGCTTATTTGCCTTTTGAACCTTCTTAATGCATTCTGAAGAGAGTTGTCATTACTGCCCAGTCACAAAGATTGTTCCACTGGGATTTGGTCACACCTGCTACAAATGCATGCTTTCTTCCGCTGGTGCTGGTGCGGTACAGCTGGTGATTTCGTCAAACTTCCAGCATTTCTCTGGTGGTTGAGTGGTAAGGAATTGCACTCCAGCCTACAGGCATGAAGTTCGAACTTACCAGCTGTTCCATGGGAGAAGGATGGGCCAGTTCCTCCTGTGTGATTCATGGTCTCTGAAAGTCTGCTGCTGGAGTCAGCGAGGAGTTGGTTCTGACTTGATAGCACACAACAACACTGTAGTCCTGGTGAATCTAGAGCAATAGCTTTTCTGGACGATGAAGTAGTAAATAAAAAACAACTTAAAAACCGAAAGCAACCCCCAAACCCCACATTTCAGTTGCTGCTAACTGGGAACTGACTCATAGCTGGCCCTCCAGCAGCTTTCTGGAGGGCTATAAATCACATGGGAGGAGACTGTCCATCTTTCTCCCTTGGAACAAGTGGTGGATTTGAGAGGCCCACCTTTTGGTTGACAGCACAACTCCCTACCCACTAGGCAAAAAAAAGGGGAGAAAAGCAGGAATGGCTCCCAGTTAGTTTCAGATCATATTGTAATTCAGTATGGAATTTAAGATGACAGTTCGAATTGGTAGTAAACATCGCTAAGGACTCTGTGTGGCTGCACACTGGCGGCGGCTCACAGGTGACGCCAGGAGTCACCGCACCAGGTGACAGACACTGACCCTCCAGATGCCGCTCCACTTAGCTCTTTGCGGCAGCTGCTCCCCTGGCTGCCAAAAGCCACGAGGGCCCGCTCTGCGGGACGCCTTCCCCACGGGCTCCACCTCATGGGACAGACGTACATACACACACACACACACACACTCTGAGGGACGGCTTCCCCACGGGCTCCACCTCACAGGACAGACATACACACACACACACACGCGCGCGCGCTGTGGGACGGCTTCCCCACGGGCTCCACC